TAAGTTTTTGCTAATATTGCAACGTTATATTGCAAAATTACAGTACGGTATATTGTAATATTACAGTTTTGTTGCAACATTACAACATTTGAGATTTAATTACGGGAGACAAGTTTAGCTTCAAATATATATAAATTTTATTTAGTTGATATCGTTTAGTTTTTGCATAATGTGTATTTAAAAAATTCCTTTTTTTTTGTCTCACACTGTATATAGGCTATATACAGAATTAGAAAATTTGTATATACTAGTTAAAATTAATACTATACTTATATAATATGTATACACATTTTTATATTATTATTATTATAATATATTCAACAATTGTATTAATTATTATATTAATTCTAACTCTAGTTATATATAATACATATTTTTATATATATATTATATATTTTTATAATTATTTAAACTTATTATACATAAATAAACTGAATTCTAATAAAAATATTAGCAAATTTTATGATTTTAAATTATTAAAATAAAAATTATAATTAACTAAAAAAAAATTTTATAATAAGCAATTATAAAATTATTTAATATTAATTAGTCAGATAATTAATCAGTTAATATTAGTCAATTAAATAAATAACTAGCTGTTAATTGATTATTAATGAATTATAACTAACTGTTATTATTCTAGTTTTAATTAAAGGATAATCTAATTGTATAACATGTTACATGTAACAACCATTAGTAGAACTAATAAAATTAATCTTTAATTCAAATATAAAGATATATATTAATAAATAATAATTAACTTAAAGTTATTAAATATTTATTTTTATATTAAAATACTTATGTTATATTTTTTAATTAAAAAGTAAAATAACATTCTTTTAAACTAATCGCAAGATTTTTTTATTTCTGGGGCCTTTTGCCTTTCTTTATGCTTTCCATGCTTTCCTTTCTGTTAAAGGAAGAGGTGGGTTGTAAACGAAACGATAAATTCTGGCCAATGCCATAAATACTGACTGTCTTCCATTTGCTTCTGCAAGGTCAAAATCAGTTTCAACCCATTTTGACTTGGCCATCGTTGAACCTGAATTGAATGCTTTCTAGGTAAACGCTTGCCAATCTCTTTTAAATATTTTCCATTGCCTTATAAAATATAACGTATGTAGAAATAACGCGAATGGCGAATATATTCTGATCCGTTCATCTGCCACAGCAAGAATTTTGGCAAGAAGTTGCGCTTTCCCAAATCAAATTTTGCTTTAATGTTCTTCAAATGCTTATCCTGTTAAAGAAAAAAATTTTGAGTCATCAAATAATATGACTTGTCGAATAATCGAAAACACGAACCTCTACAATTGTTATTGCAAGTCCTCGCTTTTTTATTACAAATTCAGCTATTGCAGACACCTTCTTATCACTAACAAAGTAGCTCGTATTTTTCTTTAGTTCTAGATTTGGATGTGATGCAAAAGAGGTCATTAAAGCATATAACAAACAAAGATTTATTTTATTATTATTTAATCAACAATGGCCATTTATCGAAGTCAAAAAGCGGTATATAACAAATGGGTTACTAATGAGTCAGTTTTAGATTCCTTCCTCCCTATATCGAGACCTTGATTAATGATGATTTCATGAAGTTTCTGAAAGAACGTTTGGACGTATCCATCATTTGAATTAATATTGTCAACATCAAAATCACCCTTTCGAGGACAGTTCGATTAATGTCTGGGACAAGATATTTACTCGGAAAGTCCGTGACTAGACAATATTTAAATTATAAATAAAGTTCGCTAGGAGGATTCTTAACACAATGTAGTAATTATTACCTTCGACAGCAGGTATAACTTCGCTCTCGTTGGAAGCTGGTACGAAGGTCGCATTTAGTGCTTCCATATCTTCTACTACGAATTGAGATGTCGAATCAGAAAGATCCTTTAAGCCAAAACTGGAAGGAGCCGGAACTGGAACTGGAACTGATTCTAAGGTTCTTGACTCCTGAAAGATCTGAAACTTGTCTGGAAATATTGGAAATACGTTCTGACAGTCGTGTAGACGCAGCAGAACTTACATTTTCGAGAGTTTTTTGTTTTTTTTTGAATCTTTTCGTGTGGTCACATTTGGAGAACTCTCGCTTTCACTTTCGACATTCTGTCGTTTTGTGTTTCTTGTGTGATCTCTTTTGTCTTTCTTGTAGAGCTCTCACTTTCGCTCTCGACAGTTTTTGTGGTCCTTGGATTACTTTTACTTTCAGTGTTTTTTTTTGTTTCTTCCGTTTATTTTAAATCATCTGTAACATAGTGCGACAAAAATAAAAGCTATGATTTACTGGAGAAGAATTTTTCGCAAATCACGATTAATTTATCATGCATGAAAATTTCTGACCTTGGGAATTTTTTATGTTGATCATCACGATTTCTATCAGAATGCATCAATGGTCATTAACAGCTATCTCCGTAAAGGTGAGTTCATTGTATTTGACCTAGATAAACTTGAGGATGATCCTCTTGAAATTCGGCTAAAGGTTTGACGCACCATTAAACCTGCAGGAGGATAGAGGCAAGGCAAAAGCTCGGATGACATGATTGATGGTATGTTTATACACTTGTTCAATATACGATATATAAATTTATACAAGGAAAAGAGAAATCACGTGTGCGTGAAGAATCTTCACGCCGATCACTTTTGCCAAGAAAATTTTATTATCTAACCCACATGAAAAATATGACCGCCAGGGTCACTTTATTGATATAGGAAAATAAAATACATAAACTAGAATTTCTATGTTAAATTACATGATGTGGTAATCTATGGACAGTCTGACGCTTCTCTATCCTAATTATTATATGGTGACGTGGTGGATTTGAAATTGCTTGTTTCAATGTTCGTGCGAGTAAACTTTTATTCACAATTCTATTGTGATTATAATAATTTAATCGACTAATAATTAAACCAATAGATTAAAATGTTATTAAATAAAAGAAATGTAGATAAATGAATAATATTATAAAATTTGTTTCAATCAGATTTTACAAATCTGATTCAGTCGCCCTTATAATCTTTTTTTCTGGTCTACAAAATTAAAATATTGCAAAAAAATCATTACTTGATAACCAAATTTAACACAGCACAGGAAAGTTTTTATTCTTTCTAAATGCAGTTTCTACATATACCTAAATTGGACACAACATTAATAGATGCATGACGATCGCTAAATTAATAGGCTCTAGAATTAATTTAATTATCCCGTGTTTAAGTACCCTTAAAAAAATCTTTATAATCCCGGTTAAAATACATAATAATTATTTATAAATAATTTCTTCACGTGCAAAAAATTTTCTTAAAATGAAAATCATGCTAACTAGCAAAATTAATACCTGATCCTTGAATGAACACGGAAATCCTCATATGAAAAAAAAAAGAACACCATCAGGTAAAGATCGGATGTACTAAAAAAAAAAAAAAAATTCAAAATACGGACCTTTTATTTTTATTAGTCGAGTAAAAATTGGCGTCAATATTATTAATTTTTATATTTGTGAAAAATGTCGATCATAAAACGTTTCACTGCATTAATGATTTTGCTATTGTCTTCTATTTATGTCGTTGTTAACTACGGTATTTTAGGTATTTTATAAAACTTCCTATATTTCGAGTATGTCCTTCAATCGAGATCATTTTTATAAACATGATCATTTACTTAACAATAAAATAAACGTTTAATTGTTTTTTTACGTGTATTTGTTATGAATGAAGCGTTGAAAATATGAAATTATGTTCAAATAACGTTATGTTAACGACATCAAAATAAAAATTATTTTTCTTTTAATCACATTAGAGAAGTTGAATGCCGTTATAAGCTTGTTAGATAACGAATGTAAGTTTATTATCCAGTAAATGTTTTTATACTTATAAATAGAAACTCAAACAGAAATGTTTCTTATCTAGGATATTGAAACACTACAAAAATCAAGACGCGATGGCGAGAAATGTCTTGAAATTTTTGAAATGACGTTGAACCAAAAACAATTCTTTCTAGTTCAGAAAACCTGATTCAAGAGGAAATAATGATCTTCTTTGTGATTAAATGGTCATTATTGTAATATCTCGCTTATAGTATCGATGTTATCTATTACTTTGAACAAATTGTTCTAATTGAAATTTATTTACAAATTCATCTTTTCATAACAGCAAAAAAATTTTCCACATTTCGTGAAATAAAAGGTAGGTAAGAACTTGGAGAGTAGATATTATCGCTCATTGTTCAATAACCGTCTAACGAATGGAAAATATGCAAATTTGAGAACAATGTGCAAAGGGACTGTTGTAAATTTAAAAATAACCGCACATTGAACTTTTTAACATTAAATAGATTATGTTTCTTGTAATGAATTTCTTTGAAATAATGGTGAGTCTCTTTATAATAGAGAATGTTTTTTATTTTTAATTTTTTTTTTGCAATGATATTTTTTTATTAAAAAAAAAAAAATTAAATTAAATTACCGCAGGCAGGATTTATACAACTATAATCATGGCCCCGTAAAAAAACGGCCCGTCTCACGACCGTTATCACGAAAACAATATGAAAATTGTTCTTATTACATCAACAAATTTGAACCAGGTACATGAAATAAATGCATTTAACACGTGTATAGAAATTTGAATGCAAATAAAAAAAGGATTTAAATTTTTTTTTTTTAACGTGGACTTACAACTTTTTTATTATATTATAAAATTCAAATTTACATCTAAATTGATCTAATTATGAACTCTGAATAAACAAATAAATGAAATTTAATTAAAATTAAAATTAAAATTATTTTTATAAAATAATAATAACATCGAAAAATTAAATTAAACTAACAAAAATAATAAGCTAAATTGGGAAAACCAATCCCATAAACAAATGAGCAAACGGAAAGTCCAAAAGGTCGTCAGGCCAAAGGAGCAAAATCCGAAGGTACCGAAAGGAGGAAAGTAAATCAGGTAATGAAAAAAATTTACCAGAACGTTCCCCATGCACCACCTTTAATAATAAAAATATTATTAAAGAGGTGCATGTGAGAGGGGATGTCTGGTGAATAAATTTTTAAAAAAATTTATTTTATTAAATCTTTAATAAAAATATCATTAAAGAGATGCATGCAAGAGAGGGACTCCTGCGGGATGGATTGTTTAAACAATCAGGATTGTGTTTGGCAATAAGATTGATTGCCCAAAGGTATGTAAATGAAATAATTTCGTCTACATTATGTTTTTGTTTTTTTTGAAATTTGTCTAAAAGAAGGTCTTTAATATAAAGTCCCCAAATTTCTTAAAAAGGCAGAAGAATTTTTGTAATTTTTTTTTTTTTTTTTTTTGATTTTTTGATTTTTTAAAAAAAAAGAATGAGAAAAATCGGTCCTTTATAAAACAAAATTTTGCACTCCCAGATGATAATTAATTCGGTCACAAAAGAAAATCAATGAACCCATTACTGTTTTCACACAACAATAACCAAATTTTCTGCGTTATGACGTGTAACAAATCAAATCTTTTTTTTTTATTATGATATATATTATGGCTCAAACTTATCTTTAAACGATTTAGATGTTAATTATGTAATTACTTGCATATTGATAAACGACATGATCATTTTATAATACATCTATATAGATTAATTTTTTGAAAAATGGAGATAGATTACCTGGATATGGTCATGTGAATACAATTTGACCCTAAAGGAACAAGAGAAAAAGAGCTTGTCCTTTTGGTTTTCCGAAGCATCCATTTTTAGTTAAAGAACCTCTTTTGCAAGTAATTTCAAAATAGGATAATTAAATTTTACAATGAATAAAATTAAAAAAGAAATTTTTTTTTTTGTTTTCTTTTTTTAGAAGATAATAATAAAAACCTTAATAAATTGTTTGGAAAGATATTCATTAAACCAATAGTATTTTTTTTTTTTTTTTTTTTTTTTTTTTTTTTGAGATTTTCTAACGATGAACACCATCTTATGTGACGTAGTATAAGATGAATTCCGTGTTACGAGTTTAAATGGCGCAGAACAACTACTCCGAGACAAACTCTAACTCACAACTAACAAAATTCTCATCGTATAATTTAAATAATTTAATTTAACTTAAAAAAGCGTAAGATTTTTTTTATTATTATAAGCCTGGTATAGCTATTTCAACATTAAAAGGGGCCGTAATGATAGGTGATTATTAAATTAAATATCTTTTAAACGCTTCTTCCGTTTCATGAATGACGAACTTAAAGTTAAAAGGAATATGAGGGACATGAAGTGTGGATACAAAGAGTTATTTTTTAAGAAAGGCAAGAATGTTTAAAAAAAAAATTGAAAAGCAAATCACATGATTTTAAAACGAGTCACGAGACACAGTATATATATCATGGAAAAAACGAGTCTGAACATTTATGAGTATGTGGAAAATTTTCCGATTGTCCACTAGCAAATAAGCATGAATGAATTTTCTATGCAAACAAACATATAATATGCAATATAACTGTTTGATTGCAGATTTCATTTTCATTAAATAGGAATTTTTGATTTTAAAAAAAAGGATGTTACATGATAATTTAATGCAGGGTCAACATTTGAAATTAAGAAATTTAACGTTCACAGTAACCAACATCTTTTTTTTTTTCGAATATCACATCAAATAATGCTATAGAATGATTGTAATTGGGGATTGTTTAGTTGGGTTTGATAAGCTTGGCTAGCTTCTTCACCTTCAATCACTTGCTGAGGTGGAACTTTAAAAAGTAGTATCAAGTTACTAGATAAATTACGCTACTGTTGTGGTCTGGTCGTCAAATTTAACGAACAATATTTTGACATATCTGAAGACAAATTTTGTCAGCCATTTCTTCGACATTGTTGATTATCAAAA